TTCATTGGATTTTAATCTTTTATCCGTCCTCTAAAGAAGTGATGATAAACATAGAACGAATTGAATATAACATCTTCTCTTGACTAGAGAGAGATATCAAAAGTAGAGAAATAGGAAGCTTCTTTTTTATTGAACTAATGAGTTGCTTTGATTATGTAAAAAATAGTGACAATAATTTGAAGTCTGTAACATCCATTTTGACTAAAATATTCGAATTAGAGAAATTTATGTTATTCTTATTGCATAAAAAAGGTTTTTAAGTACTCCTATGTCAATAACTTATATGTAGACATATATTTGAATCATTTAAATCTAATAATAGATCGTAATCGAAAGTTCGAACAATAGCATTTATTATATAAGCTTTATGAAAGAAATTCTTTCGATTTTCTTTCCGTTAAGGTATAAGAAAATGAACTATACCTTTCAATGAAACAACGCCTTTAAAAATTACAAGTATGATTACAATAACATGTTTGACCAAACCAATTATGAATCTTTTACACAAATTTGAAACAAATCCGAGTTAGATTTTTAATAATCTATAAAGATAAAAAACAATAATATTGCCACTACAAGCAGACATGCCAATCGCGAATGAAAATCTACAACTGCCGCGATGGTATTATAAAGAAAAAATGTTTCATATATCACTGGTATGATATTGGATTGAACTAGAACTATAGTTGCTAATCCATAGGAATCTTTCAGTTGCAGAATGTTACACTTGTGAACACCAACGTTCTGTACGAAATAGTACAATTCTGTAATGTTTCTCATCAAAATATACTGCCAGCACCGTTGTTACGATGATATTGTTCAAGGATATTCAACGTCGTAATGTTTGTTTAGAAAATCTGTCATTGACATTTCTGGTACTTAACTGGTTTTTATAGAGATTGTTGTTAAGAAAATTTTATTAATTCACAAGATAGCTTTCCACTCATCTTCCATAACAACAAACAAATGATATCATTCCGTATTTTATTCATTTTTTTTTAAATCTGACCAAATTTTTTCGAACACGATACTGAATATTTATTTCACTTTTCATATCTAGAGACTCATGAGATAAAATAACTTCAACTATACCACACAATATAATAGCTAGAGTCATCGAAAATTTTTTTTTCATTCATTTTTTCCTTTTATTATGACACAGAAGGAGACATTCGAGTGTGTTTTGAATATGCTGATACTGAACGCCATCTTCCCTATCTTAGAGGCTATATGGTAGTTTTTCTTGCAATGGTGAAATCGTGTGTGCACATAATAGTGTGTATAGTATAGCTTACTTCAATCTTTCAATGACTCAATGTGTATTTTTCGAAAAGTTATCATTGATCGAACAGTTATAAGCTTAAAAAGATATACTCATTTTCGAAACCATGAAAGATATTTTTTCTTGGTAACCGAAAAATTAAACTCATTTCATGTATATGGAATAGATTTTACAACATCAATCTAGATGTCTCAGTCAGTTCTTATATATAATTCGACGAATAGCAATACATTATTAAAAGCAAAAAAAGAAATAAAATGTAACCACTATTTTATTAACAAAAAAATTATATTAGCAACAGATAAAACAACATGTAAGATGTAATTCTTATTCGCTATTGATTATTAAATATGATACATAAATTTAAAAAAAGAGCTACTAAGACATAAATTGAACCATTAAAGAAAGTATCTGTTAGATTGACAACAATAGCTGAAATCATTTTCCTTTTTGAATTTAGTAGAATATAATTAATTTAATTTAATCTAAAATTATCCTAGAATTTTTTCAGAGAACAATCAAATCTATGAATGCTGATCATGATCAATTGATCGACCATTCCAACACTATTCAATATTGGCGTTAAGTAACATATATTTCTCCTAAAGATCAGAATCAAATCAATAAAAATACATTATTAAATGAATTCAATTTAATATTACTATTTGTGTTTAGTATCAAGGAAATTATAGAAGATTTCATAGAAAATGATAAAAAAGTTATGATATTAGTCTTTCAAAAATAATAATATCATTTCACTTAGTCTTTGATAATTTATTTGCTAATAAAGTTTTTTTTAAAATTTTTATTGCAGATGTCAATGAAAATAACAACATCATTTAGTAAAATTCGATCGAATAGAATTAAATATTTGAAACTATTTCCATTGTTTATTCATGATATCGATCGAGTAATTCAAGATGATGATGATGATGATATTTGAAAAAAATACGAATAAATTTTATTTATATAGATCGAAGAAGATGAAGATCATTGGCCTTGTTTTGAAGCAAAAATTATTGATGATCTTATTATGATTCCTGATGTTGAACAAGGCGATAAACTTTTCAGATATGTAAGTTCAATGATTAAGTTTTAATACTTAACTAATAACTAGTAAAAGAATATAATTTGACTCCTACATTTTGGAAATCAAATATTGATGCATCACTCTATTATTCGAGATTCTTCGACAAATTCATTCGATTTTAGTACTAAATGCTTGAACCGAACGTAAATTTAGTGTTGTATGATTTACATTGATTAACAGAAGAACTCGTTTTGATTGAAAACAATTTGTTAGGAAATTTTTCATTCGTACCATTTCGAAAATTGACTGTCTAATACAAATGTCTTTGCCTATTGCTATAAGTATCACTTATTTCCTACATTTTCTTTTACCTATTCGTTCTATGCGTCTACATATGTTGTTTTTGCTATTATGATTACACTTTTTTTGATCATGTGAAATAGAACTTACATTGAAGCAGATTTCTAGAATTAAACGTATTCAAAAAATTAAAAATATCATTTGTTGACCTACAGACCAAACCAGAAAAAAAGTGGTCTGTTGACACCTCTGATTTATACTATGAATTAATATTTTATTTAGTATTAGAAATAGTTTCGACTGAAAGATTGTTTTTTTTTGTTTTTGTAGGGTAGTTTTGGTAAATGTGAATTTATTCGAACTACAACTCATGTGTCACCATCAACACCATTAGAAATAATACCAAATAGTAGAAAAAAATATGAAAAACCTTATCGATTACGGTCAATTGAATCCAATGATAGAAAGTTTGTTATTTATTATTTAATTTATCTATCATCTAATGAATAAAACATAGTAATCAACCAACGGATATTGATGAAGATATTTCTGATTTTGAAAAAGATTTTCTTAATGAATTAAATCCCAAAATGTTTCCATTATCTTATGAACACGTTCAAGAACAAAATCATCACGAATGTCAAACAATTCTTCAACAAACAAAAATTTATTCAACATTTTCAACTATCAATTCGAAACCTATGGAAGATAATAATATTGAAATTCCATCATCAAAATTACTTATCTATGAACATGTTTATCTCTTACCAGAAGAAGTTTGTTGCAATCATTTTTTTTTCTTTTTAATTTTTTTTATTTAATTTTTTTTAGACAATTTTTCTTCAACATGCACTTGGTTGTTTAACTGTCAAAAATGAATTGAATCAAGTAAGATAAAAATAAAATAATTAGTTTTTTTTTCTTTTATTAAAATAATTTCAAAAGACTTTATCTCCAGATGAATTATGGAATAAATTTATTTTAAAAGATACAAACTTCCCAATAAAATATGCTGTTTATTATCAATATCGAAGTAATGGATGGATTGTTAAATCTGGTTTAAAATTTGGTTGTGATTATAGTAAATAAAAAAAAAGATAGAAGACATGTTGTTATGAAGCCAGTTTTTTGCGTACATAGTTTTCGATCGGTAACGTATGAGAGATTCATTGGAAGCATCTTCACCGCTTAGTTGTGCACTATTTCGACATATTGTGATCAGTTCCTAGAATATCTCCAGACCTTCCAAAAACTGATGTCGAAAAGTCTAGGTTCTCTAAGATTACGGGATCGATTATCTTGAGAGTCTCTGGATACTCGATCTACATCGATTTTGCTGATTCGAATTGATATTCCCATAATACGTGAAACACTGCTGTGAGCTGCCTATATGACTTTGTGATACCAGACCATCGTTGACGAGTATCAAGGCTGATAAAAAGTCAATCAATTTATTTTTAAAAATATTTTCACGTTTTTCTTTGCGACATTGTAACTATATATGCGTGTTTTGGAGCTGATTTCATTTGAAATGGATACAACAAATTTTATATTTTAGAAAAGAAAGCTAATACTTAAGTATATTTCTCATATAAAAATCAAGTGATGGGATGAAAAACTATCCTATGACCAAATTTTTGGTAATATATATGTTTCTCTGTTAAAATCATGAAAAAAATGTTTTTTTTTAAGCCCTGGTAATACTCTCGAGATCAATAGGGTCATGCCGAAATAGCACAATATTAAGTGGTGGATAATACTATTAACTACACTCATACATTTTCAATAGAAAGCAGAGTTGCAAACAAATGGTCTTATCACAATATGTTCTTTTGAAAATGAAATTTTCTTTTTAGTGCTCTATAAATTTGGTCCAACTTTTAATCATGCTGATTATTGTTTATCAATTAAAAATTTTTGGAAAACAAATAGTTGTACATGGTCATTTATATCAGGATTTAATCGAGCATGTTTAAATGCAGGTAAAACATTACTTTTAACCAATGTTGAATTACCAGTGGTAATTACGAATAATATTGAAGAATTTCTTGAACAAACGAAAATAAAAACAATAGAAATTAATCGATGGATCCCAACACAAAATCAATCTTTAGAAGAATCGAAATAATTATTTCATTGATTATTTTTTTTTTTGTTCTTAATTCTAGATAAATATATTTTTCATAATGGCATGGTTATGGTGGATTTTTATCTTTAGCATTCTAATGTGTACGTGAAGCTGCTCTGCATGTCATGCGGCATGTTAGTCGCTGAGAATTTTGTCTTTCAATTACGTTTCCTTTTTCGTTTTTTTTTGGATTTCTAGTATTCTTATATATTTCGAATAAATATTATTGGTCTGGTACGCGATGTCCATCACACGATCGGATGGATGGAAAAACTGTTATTATTACAGGAAGTAATACTGGTATTGGAAAATATACAGCTATTGAATTAGCTAAACGAGGTATATAGTAATTATATTTTTTTTAGTTACAACAGATGATTTTGGTTTTATTTTTCTATAGGTGCTCATGTTATTTTAGCATGTCGAGATCGAAAACGAGCAGAAGAAGCTTTAAAAGATATATGTAGATTATCAGGAAATAATAATGTCGAAATTGAAATGCTTGATCTTACTTCATTAAAATCAGTTCGTGAATGTGCCAAACGACTTCGCGGAAGATTATCAAAATTAGATGTTTTGATAAACAATGCGGGTGAGTAAATATCTCAAATATATTCATATAGATTTATTTTATTTGATACATTATGTACATAGCAAAGTGTAAGCTGATTTGATTAGCATACTAATGTTTGTTATCCATATAAATTCAGAAAGAATTTCATTTGCATATGATAAATATATATTTATTTTGTTTTCTAATTGTTTGAAAATACAAGAAGCATAAACCTTGATGAAACGTAGACTAAAGAGAAATACATGTGTATTGTATAATTGAATTATAGCTTTGGTTTTATTTTGAATAATTTCTGTATGGATTTTATAATTCTGATAATGCATAATAATAATTTTATTCTTAGTCTTGTTTTATCAATTCGTTCGAATGTATAAAATTCGAGTGATCATTAAGTTTAATCAACTTTTCTAGTTACCAATAATCTTATTCGATGATTCATTTTAAGCCTTAATAACCGATCCAAATCGTCTCGTTAGTGTAACCGATAATCATATAAATCTCCTACTTTTACGATCATTTATCTTTTCGTTCTATTGTCCTTTTCATTGTTCACTTTTCTCTATTCTTCTCTTTCTTTGTCCTACATAAAGGTACGTTCTATGTGAAGCAAAGACAATTGGAGTAATGAAGTAGTATAGTGTAGATCCATGTCGAAGGTGGCGATAATGTTACTTCTCCTATTCTTCATCATCATTGTAAAAAGATAAGGTGTTACTGATTCAAAATTTGAGCAAAAACTGATTGAATAGATTTTGAATTTACTCGTCATATAGTTAGAAAAATATTATTTAATTTTTAAGAAAATCAACTTTTTCGATTTAATAGTAAATAGTCATAAATACGAGCTTATGTTCAAAGAATTGATCATGAGAAGTTCAGTTTCGAATGAAACGCATAACATATTTAGAATCAGCAGAAAATTTGCATCGAATAGTATTCTCAATAGTTATAAATAGTTTTGATTAAATATCGATCCTCACATTCCCTCATTGATATTTTCGAATACTTTGATCTGTACTTTTTCTAAAGAAGAAATTTGACGAATACTAGTTTCAAGTATTGTGTATAATATTCGATACAAGTTTTGCTGCTAGTTCTGAATATGATATGCGTTTCATTCGAAACTGAACTTCTCGTTATCAATTCTTTAATCGTAGGTCCGCATTTATAGTTATTTACTGTCAAATTGAAGAATTTGCTTTTTTCAAAAGTCAAATATTATTATTCTAAAACGAACGAATTTATTTTTTGTCTTTAGGTGTTATGATGGCTACAGGAAAGTCAGTTGATGGTTATGAAATTCATTTTGCCGTCAATCATCTTGGTCATTTTCTATTAACAAATCTTCTATTAGATTTAATGAAAAAAGCTCCCTCAGCTCGAATTATCAATGTTTCATCTATTAATCATGCCTGTAAAAAATTCATTTATTTTCAATAGATTAAAAATTTCTTTTACTATACTTAGTTTTCAATTGTACAATTAATTGGGATGATATAAATTTTGAAAAACCACATTGGAGAATAAACGCATATTCACATAGTAAATTAGCAAATATTTTATTTACAAATGAATTAGCACGCAGATTAAAAGGTTTTTTTTTTAGTAAAAAATACAAAATATTATCTATGTTTTATTTCAATAAATTTAAGGTACAAATATTACAGCAAATAGTCTTCATCCTGGTAAATAACTTTTATGAAAAAAAATATATATTATTCAATTGATAATAATTTTATAGGTGTTGCTCGAAGTGAAGTCATTCGATATATGTGTGGTCGTTATCAAATAATATTAAATTTTTTAATTTTTCTTATCACACCTATATGGTGGTGTTTAACTAAAAATCTTGAACAAAGTGCTCAAACATCTATTTATCTTGCATGTGATCGCCATTTAGATAATGTTACAGGAAAATATTTTAGGTTTGTCATTTATTATTTTTTTCTCGTTGTTTTTTTTTTGTATGTGTTTATATGTATATATAGTGATTGTCAAGAACGTCAATCATCAAAAATATCTCGTGATGAACAAGCAGCTGAACGTCTTTGGAAACTTAGTGAAGAAATGACACAGTTAAACGATGCATTAAAAGAAGTTCGAAATGAACAAAATGATTAATTGTCAAAAAAAAATATTTTTTTTAAATTTGTCTTTCTTTATAGAATCAAGAAATTATTATTTTTAGATAATAAAAAAATGATCACAACTGATAATGAATATTGTTCTTATTGTCCACCATCATCTTATGTACCTCTGCGTTCAACATGGGCAAGAGCTGTTTTAAAGAAAATAGAAAGTGATAAATGTTTAAAAAATATCGATCGAAATAAATGGTATCGTTTATCACGTCAAGATCTTTTATATGATGAATACCGAGAATATTTTCATGAATTTAATGAAGATGAAGAAACAACAACATTTATTAAACAAAGTGAACAACAATCTGATAATATTCCTTTACAAATCTTTCATAGTATACTTCATTATTAACACTTTTTATGACAAGAACATCAGGTATGATCATGTTATTGTTTTTTTTTAAATATGAAATTTCGATAGATTGAATCAATAAAAGAATCTAATAATTCGTTAGCAAGAAAACTTAGTAAAAAACTAGTCAATATCACCGAGATTGAATAAAAAAATTAGAGTTTGATTTTATCTTTCTTTTCGATATTCATTAATCATAAGTAAATTTGATTTCAATCATCTTCACAAATGATTATTGTTTTTTATCTATTCTAGCTAATGGTTTAATCGGTCGTGGTCGTATGTTTGTATATTCGACACGTCAATTTAAAACTTTACTTGATGTAGAATCTCATGAAGAATCTTCCTTCAATACTCTTCTTGATATTGGTGCTGGTGATGGTTCAGTAACTGAACGAATGTCGAGTCTATTTAAAAAAGTTTATGTAACAGAATTATCTCCCACAATGCAGTGGCGTTTATCAACATATGGTTATACAGTATTAAATCCAGATCATTGGGATAATTTAACATTTGATGTTATAACATGTTTAAATGTTCTTGATCGTTGTGAAAAACCATTAACATTATTAAAACAAATACGTAAACATTTAAATCCTAAAACTGGTCGTTTAATTATAAGTCTTGTTTTACCATTTCAACCATATTTTGAATATAATAATAATCATTATCCAAATGAATCAATAGAAATTCAAGGTGTTTTACCAGAAGAACAAATCAATAGTTTTCTATTGAATGTTTTTCAACCATTAGGTTTTCGTTTAAAAAAATTAACACGTTTACCATATTTATGTGAAGGTGATATTGAACGAAGTTATTATTTTCTTTTTGATTATTTATTTGTACTAGAGATGTCATGACATTCTATTCTGTTCTGTTTCTTTTTTTTTTCAAAATTCAGTCAAATGTTTTTAAATGCATTACATCTTATTGACATGACCTTTATGCGTGCAGATATAATGAAAAAGATTTTTTTTGCTTCTGTTTCTAGATTAATTTATATACATATAATGAGTGATAGTTCATTTGAAGATAAATTAAAAGATCTCAATTTATCAAATGATGAATTAAAACGTTTTTCTGATGCTTTTAAAAATGAAGAATTTCGTAAATTATTTATGGAATATGCTGAAGAATTAAATGATCCAAAAAATCGTGAATTATATGAAAAAGAAATTCGTGCTGTTGAAGAACAACGTGGTTCAGATGTTACATTTATACATCCGAAACCCGGTCATGTACTTAAAACAACAATAAATAGTAAAAATAAATGTTTTATTAATATAGCAACAAATGAACATGTTGATAAACCATCATATAATAAAAGTACAGAAACAAATGGTAAACAAGGTGTACAATGGAGTTTACCACATTGTTTAGCTGGACCACATGAAGATATTGATCATGAATCAAAACCATGTACGGTTTATGATGTTATTTTTTCACCAGATACATATAGAATGGCTGAAACAAATGTAAAATTTATGAAAATGGTTGAAGATTCAGCGTTAGATTCTGTTGAAAATAATTTTCATTGTAAACTTGATAGAAATAATATTAAAAAATTAAAAATGAAATTTAAAGGTATCCCAAAAGCAACTATTATTAGAAAAAAAAAAGAAAATCAACAACAGGAAACAAAAAATGATACTGAAAATGAACTTAAACAAGAGACGTAAGTTAAAATATGCAATATAATTATGATTTATGATTATTATTGAAGAAAAGAATTTTTCAAAACTCATATTAATTGTATGAGTAGGAATTTCCGATAGAAAATGTTCAGTCATATCTTTAATGGTATTACTTGATCTAATAATGTCAAGAGACATAATGAAATCTTTCATTTCTTTCTTGTTCTCAAAGCATTTTATAAAACACCAAATGTAATTATAGTAAGAAATATACTTAATCCCTTTTGTTATATTGGCATAACCAAATGGGAACTTCACTCCACTCAGACAGTTTTTTTTACTTTTGATTACTTCATTATTTCGTCACTCAATAGTCAGAGCTAATAAATAATTTTTTATTGCATCTTGTTAATATAATTAAATTTAGGCGAAGTCGTTTTACTTTGGTTATGCAAAATGACTCATTCGTTTTGTGTGATATGACATGAGAATTTGAAATTATTGTTAGTTTCAGTTGAATAATTTTTTGAAAAATGAATCATTTCAAAGAATGACATATATATAGAATTACATGCATTTTTATAATATGAAATCCTTAATTTTTATTCCGATTCAAAATCATCTAGTCCTTTTGTTAAGGTCGTCTCGCCTAGAAGGAAGTTTATGCCAATCTGACGAACATCAGAATAATCAATTTGTGTAACTAAATAAGAAAAGTCATTAGTACATTCCCTACGAGATTAAAATGTGAAGCACGATGTAGTTGTTGTTGCAAATCACAGAAGATTGCGTTAATCTATCTAATTTGGAATGCATGTCTTCACTGTCGTTTTAATTAATCTTCAACAAATACAATAACTAATTCATATATTAGAACAAGACGTTATTCATATACAGTCTTTGATCGTCTATCAGAAACATCTTTCATGGTCTATGGAGGTACAGATTTTTGAGACTTTTTCTAAAAATACATCGTTTCCTAACTCGAAAAACTTAGCCAAGAAATGACGAAAAGAAGTTTAATTTTTTATGGATCTGTAGCTTATACACAACATTCTGGAACTGTCTCAATCTTATGCTTTATTACTCAAAATAGATAGTTTCTGTGAATCACCTAAAACAGACAGTAAGGAGTTAAACTTGCTTAAAATTATAGTTTACTCGAAGTGAGAAAATTGTTTACAAATAAAGAATATTGAAGAGAAAATTGTTTGAAAGTTTATATCACTATTGTATTGTTTCAATTAAATGCATATTTTCAATAATTATTAAACTAAGACTATATTTCTGATTATTTTCACTAGACAAAAAAAATGCTCAAGTTTATTTTGAAGATTTTCTTATCTGGAGTATATTTTCTTTTTTTCTAGTGATGATATAATTGAAAAAGCTATATCAAATGCTCAAAATCACAAAGTGGTTTTATCAAGTCATAATCGTGCTGTAAATCCTCCACCACCCTCAACTAACATAAATTCATCTGAAACAATGAAACCTTGTACAGACGAAAATGGTTTTACTATTCCAACATATCGAATAATTCATCGTGGTGAATTTGACATGCAAGATTGTACAAATTCTCTTGTACCACAAGTTCGTTCGATGCGTCCAAAAGAATTAATTGTTGAAATTGATCTCCCATTATGTGCATCTTCTAGTAATGTTGATTTAGATGTATGTGAACGTTCACTTAAACTTCATTGTAATTCGCCGAAATATTCTCTTGATCTTCATTTACCTTATCCAGTCCGTGAAAGTGATAGTCATGCACGTTTTGATAAAAAACAACGGAAATTACTTGTTACATTAGCTGTTATTAAAGAAACTCCGTCAATTATTGAAGTTGATACAAATATTGATATGAAAGAAACAAATGAAGAACCAACAGAAACAATTCCAACAACAACAGCAACAACAAATGAATTAGCAGAATCAATTGCAAAACCAGCAAATATAACTTATTTATCCATTCCATTTGACTATAAACAAGGCTTAGCTCATCTAGCAATAGTTTTATATGTTAAAAATGTTGATAAAACAAGTTTAAAACTTGAAAATGATGGACAACATATAACTATTCAATTATCATCTTTAGGCTCAGGTTTTTATCCTTTACATCATCAACTTTTTCTTGATTTTGATGAACCAATGGTATTTGATACAACAGAGAATTCATCAACAATTACATTTAATGATGATAATGTTTTAATCTTATTAAAGAAAACTTCCAATGATAAACAATTAACTCAATTTTCTAGTGGTATTAATCAAGAAGATATGAAGGTAAAAGGTTTACTATTATCTTTAGATCATGTTTTGCAACTTCCTCTACCGTCGAAAGAGAAAGGCTAACGATCATTGAGTCCATTTCTATGACACTCCAGGATAATGGATATCAGAATCCTTCCCAAGAGTTTCTTAGCAACGGAAAACTCTTCAAACTGATACTCACTGTATAAGCTCATAGTAGATTCATAAGGAGGTCTCAACAAGACTGGAAAAATCTTTAAACGGTTCATGGCTATGAGTCTCTGAAGGCTAGTTATGACTGTTTTTCTGAATCTTTGATCCGACTTTAGGTATTTACCGAAGAATCAAATAACGGATTTTCTACCTGAAATTTTTCCAGGATATTTTACTAGTCAAGCAATCTGTTTATGGGTGAAATTTTAGGTCAAAAACGCCGTCAAAAGGTTATAGCTTGGCTTCAGAGGCCATGTGCACCAACCTTTTTAGGATTTTTCTGAACTTATCGAAACCTACATATGAACCTAGTATGATCTCAAACGGCACGTATCAGTTCCCGTAGTTTTCTCGTCAGACTACTCTAGATAATTTCAAAGCTTTACTCCAATACTTGTACGACTGGAATGCATTAATTATATAATAGATTTCAAGAATGATGGGTAACGATGGATAGATTTGACACTGCCATCATATGACCAACATAAAAAGAATGAATTAATCAATATCAGTGTTTTTGAGCTTATCGAGATGGATAACAGTGCATTGAGATCTGTTGTAAATATAATGGAAATGCACAATATGTTTATTTGATCATTAAATCAACAAGTGAAGAAAAATGGAATACGAAAATGGAAAGCAATAAGACGAATAAAAAATAGAGCGCCAGTGTAGAGAAGAAAAAAAAATCTTTTCGAAATGCAAAAATAAATAACAAAATATCCTTGGAAAACAATTACAATCTACAAGAAAACTTTCACTTACCATATTTTGTATTAGTATAATGAGATTAAAGAGAACATGTGAGTTTCATATTTGACTTCTAAAAAGGCTATGCTGACAAGCTTGTTTTTTTTTAATGATCTAAGCTTAGTATCATTCACTTATTTAGGTCAACTATTTTCCGGTTTCAATTCCTATGGAGACGTCTAACTCATTACCAAAACAAAATATGACAAAAGAAGATTTTATTAAATGTGATTCATCTTCATCATCAAATACTGATCAAGATAAAAAATTAACCAAAAAGCAAGCTAGAAAACTAGCAAGAGAAAATCGAAAAAAACAAGAAACAACAGATGATAATGAACAACTTGTTAATAAAATTTCAAAAATAACACTACAATCAAATCATGATGAACGAAAATCGGATGGTACGAATGTTAGTCGAAAAACTACATTCGAAGAAAACGATGATAATTTATCAGATATGCGAAGAGTTACTCCACATCCATCAATCTATCGTCGACATATGTCAGAATCACAAGTCGATCTTGGAATTGCATCTAATGGAGAATTTAAACTTAAAGTAAACCAATCAAAATAAAACATAACAACTCAATTTAGGAATTTGAAAGTTTTACAATATTTTCTTGATATCTAGGAATAGACAATAACAAATTTTTTCCCTTAATCTTTTCCAATGTTCATCTCTACCAAACGTATTGCTGATATGGACACTCGTAGCTTGTTCTACTTAATCCTGCTCAAACTACAGGCATCAGGGTTCGATCGACTACCAGATGCTTGCATTTGAGCTTTATTCCAGAGCCTAGCTTCAAAGTCGTGGCCAGGTTGAAAGATTGTTGTTGTGTACAACATGAGAAGTTTTCAAAACTTTTTATATCTTCGACACCCTTGCTATCAGAGATTTTTTTGTAAAAGCCTTTCGGTTTTATAGTATTCTAGAAGTCGTTATAGTTAAGTAGTTACGTGGTTCTGCCAGACTATGCTCGAATCTCAATAGTACGGACGATGAGATA